ATCCAATCATAATCGGCTACACAAGAGATCCTGTTGACATCTCCTACAGCATGAATCCTATTAACATCCTTACACCATGAATCCTTTGGCATCGGCTACACAAGGAATCCTTTTGAAACCTGCTGCAGAAGGAATCTAATTGATATTGACTACAAATGGAATCCGATTGAAATCAGTCACAAAAGGAATCCTATTGAAATCAGCCACAATAAGGAATTCTATTGAAGTCCGCTGCGAAAAAGAACGCATTGAAATCCTTACAAAAAGAATCCGGTTGAATCGGCTACAGAAGAAATCCCATTGGCATCGGCTACAGAAAAGATCCGATGGAAATCCACTATAAAAACTCAAACTGAAAACCTCGTCAAACAAATCACATTGACATCGGCTGCAACAAGGATCCTACGAAAATCCGGTTCAGAAGGAATCCCATTGAAATCGGCTACACAATGAATCCATTGAAATCTGCTGCGTTGCGTACTTGGGAGAGGAGGGGGCAGAGGAAAAGGAGGAGGAATCAAGGAAAGAGGGGGATGATGAGGAGGAGGAGGAGGAAACGGAGGACGGAAAGGAGGAGGAGAATGGGAAGAGGACGAGGAGGAGGCACGGATTCCAACAATATTCCTGCGCATGCGCACTGCACATGCTCACTGCAATTTTTCGCTTGCACGTTCCTACAGACCGCGCGTTGAGGGAGTCAGAGGACGGGGGGGGATTGTGAGAAAGGACGGCGACGAGGAAGCGGAGGAAGGCCGTGACATGACAACCGATGGGGGGAATCATGGAATGAGGAGGAGGAGGAAGCGGAGTAGAAGGAGGAGGGGGAGGAGGACAAATGAGGAATGGAAACACGACGAGGAGGAAGCAGGGATTACAACAATATTCCTGCGCATGCCCACTGCACATGCTCACTACAATTTTTCGCTTGCACGTTCCTACAGATTGCGCGTTGAGGGAGCCAGAGGACGGGAAGGGGGATTGGGAGAAAGGACGGCGACGAGGAGGCGGAGGTGAACCGTGGCATGACAAACGATGAGGGGGATCATTGGAAGAGGAGGAAGAGAAGGAGGAGGAGGAGGACAAGGAGGACAAGGAGGAGGAGGAGGAGGAGGAGGAGGAGGAGGAGAGGAGGAGGAGAGGAGGAGGAAGGAGGACAAGAGGAGGGAGGAGAGGAGGAGGAGGATGAAGGAGGGGGAGGAGGAGGAGAAAGAGGAAAATGAGGAGGAGGCGGGGAAGAGGAGGAAGAGAAGGAGGAAGGAGGAGGAGGAGGGAGGAGGAGGAGGAGGAGGGAGGAGGAGGGGGAGTAGAAGGAGGGGGGGGAGGAGGAGGAAAAGGAGTTGGGAAAGGAGAATGAGGAATGGGAATAGTACGAGTAGGAGGCAGGGATTACAACAAGCTTCCTGCGCATGCGCACTGCACATGCTCACTGCAATTTTTCGCTTGCACGTTCCTACATATTGCGCGTTGAGGGAGCCAGAGGACGGGAAAGGGGATTGGGAGAAAGGACGGCGACGAGGAGGCGGAGGTGAACCGTGGCATGACAAACGATGAGGGGGATCATTGGAAGAGGAGGAAGAGAAGGAGGAGGAGGAGGACAAGGAGGACAAGGAGGAGGAGGAGGAGGAGGAGGAGGAGGAGGAGGAGGAGGCAAGGACAAGGAGGAGGAGAGGGGGAGGAGGAGGAGGAGGAGGAGGGGGGAGGAGGAGAGAAAGAGGAAAATGATAGGAGGCGGAGGAGAGGATAGGAGGAGGAGTAGGAGGAGGAGGAGGAGGAGGAGAGGAGGAGGAGGAGGGGAGGAGGAGGAGGAGGAGGGGGAGTAGAAGGAGGGGGGGGAGGAGGAGGAAAAGGAGTTGGGAAAGGAGAATGAGGAATGGGAATAGTACGAGTAGGAGGCAGTGATTACAACAAGCTTCCTGCGCATGCGCACTGCACATGCTCACTGCAATTGTTCGCTTGCACGTTCCTACAGACCGCGCGTTGAGGGAGTCAGAGGGCGGGTGTGTGTGTGTGTGTGTGAGAAAAGACGGCGGCGAGGAGGCGGTGGACCGTGGCATGACATACGGTGGGCCGATGAGTGAAAAGGGGTTGGGGTTAGGGGCGATGGGCGTATGGGGTGTAACAGGTAAGGGGGAGGTTGACGGTGCTCGGGGGTTAATGGTTGAATGGAGGGCCGCGGTCAAGGTGCGAAGATTGAAACTTTCGAGGCTCGGGGGGGGGGGGGGGGGAGGCCGTATGAGGGTTTGATGTTTGCGCGGTCAAATGCGAACGCGGGGTTCATTGAGCCGAAATGCGTAAGGGGTGTGTCCGAACAACTGCCTTTTCAACATCACGCCCCCTTACGTTCCCAAGCGTCCCCCTAGGTCCTCCACGCGCCACTACGCTCCCCTACGCTCCCCTTACGGCCCCCTGCGGTCCCCTGCGCCTCCCTACGCTCCCCTTGGCTCCTCTACGGTCTCCCACAGCTCCCGATGGTGGTCGGGGGAGCCGATGGAGTGTCTTGAGAGCCCCCCCCCCCACAATCTCACCATGCCAAAACATGTCTCCATATGGAGCGACACGTTGAGCATGGTGACTTGGGACAGGTGTGATTATCTCTGATATCAAAAGTTTTGGGGTGGTGTCCCTTAGCGCTATGGGGGCCTTAGTTGTGGGGCCCTTGGCTAAGAAATGCCGATCATGGGCACGAAACTTGGCGGATGTCCAGGGTTGGGCTTCTCGTACGGGTTTCTTGCGGCCTCGCCCACTTGTATGTTATAGCACAGGGAATCCTGCAGGAGAAACGTAGAACAGTGTAGAGTACGATAGAGCTGACACGAGTTTTCCAGAGTATGTGCCTCGCTGGGGCATGCAATAACATAGTAAGGTATGAGAAGGGCCGATCATGCAATGGTTCATGAGAGTGGACATGCACTTTACAAACCGTTCCAATGTTAACATGTTCTGCACATTCCTCCTTATTCTGTCCGCCTACCCTTGCCGTTGCGTCGTGCTCCCTCCTGGTATCACTCCTTCTCCCCTTCCATCCTCGTCTCCCCCCGTCGCCGCGGTCGAGTTTCCTGCTGGTTCAAGCTGTTATCATGGCTGCTGAAACCTATGCCTTCACGATTTTCCAGAAGTCGCCTCGGAATCTCCGCCATTGGAACTATATCAAAATATCGCTTTCCTAAAAAGGAGGAGGGGGAGGAAACGGAGGAGGAGGAGGAAGAGCACGAGGAGGAAGAGGAATTGAAGAAGGAGGAGGAGGATGAGGAGGCGGAGGAGGAGGAGGAGGGGAGAAGAAGGAAGATGAGGACGGGCAGTAGCAGCAGCAGGAGAAGGATGAGGAAGATGCTGAGGAGGGGGGCAGGAGGAGGAGGAGGAGGAGTAGGAGGACGGGGGCGAGATGGACGGCAAGAGGGAGGAGGAGGAGGAGGAGGAGGAAGAGGAGGAGGAGGAGGAGGAGGAGGAGGAGGAGGAGGAGGAGGAGGAGGAGAGGAGGAGGCGGAGGAAGCGGAGGGTAGGATTTGTTTGCCGAGGAACCGACCGACGACAACGGGTGTCTCCCCTCCTCCTCCTCCTCCTCCTCACCCTCCTCTTCCCTGTCCTCGTCCTTTTCCATTCCTCCTCCTCTTCCTTCTCGTTCTCCCGCTCCTGGTCCTTCTGCACTTACTTGTCTTCTTCTTCCTCCTCCTCCTCCTCCTCCTCATTTTCCTCTCCCTCCTCCTCCTCCTTCCCCGTCTCGCCCTCCTCTCCTCCTCTTCCACCACTTCCTCCCCCTGCTCTTCCTTCACCAACCTCTCCCTCTCCTCCTCCCCCTCTTCTCCTTCTCCCTCCTCCTCCTCCTCCTCCTCCTCCCCCTCCCCCTCCCTCCTCCTCCTCCTCCTCCTCCTCCTCCTCCTCCTCCTCGTTCACACGTGTTGGCAGCTACATTCCATTGCCAGCATGTTTCTTCACATGCATCTGGGTATTTCGCGCGGAGCAAATCGGTGCAACATGGTACGTTCCAGGGGACTGGGTTAGAACCTCCACCGCCCCACCCTCCCCCCCAATGGAGTAGATCTTGGCTGTTTTTGGCGCTTGTTTCAGGGGCAGGTAGGGTCTCCCCCATAGGACGCACCGTTGCATACAGTCGCGTTAAGAGCCAGACCCCCCCCCCTCCCCCCCTTCCGCCCAATGTCGAAATGCCGAATCTGAAAAGTGGTCCTGACCCATGGTGGAGCCCCTGGGGCCCTCTGAGTCTGGTGAGGGGTGCTCTGGAAGCTGGGCCTCGCGTGGAATGATGGGGCCACCTTGGGCCAGGGACACCTTTGGCAACACCCCTATGTCCTGGCCGTTCGGGAACGAAGCCCCGCAGGGCTCCAGGATGTCTCGCTGTGCTGTGACAGAGGTGTCGTCAGCATTGCTCGGATGGCCGCCTCATCCTCAAAGATGGGTTCTGGCACCGCGAAAGGCGTATAGCGAGCTTGAGAATATCCTTCCCTATCTTCTTGTCTCCCTCTCTCTCTCTCTCCCATTCTCTCGCTCACTCTCTCTGTCTCTCTCTCTCTCTCTCTCCCTCTCTCCCTCACCGGCGATGAAACCCGGTCCCATGTGCTCGTCGCTGCCCATCCCGTGTGACCGCTTCCTCAGCAAGATCATTGATCCATGCTGATCCGCTGCCTGATGATGATCCTGATCCAGCTGGTCCGATCCGTCCCGACGCGAACGAAACTCAGTCCATCGATAATCTGCCCCGACCGACAGACAGACACATCGGCGATCCGATCGAGTCCTGATTGGCGGGCGGAGGCTTCGTTGGAGTGTTGCCGCGGCAGGGGCACTGGCAGACTGGCATCGTAATAGTGCACCGGGAAGCATGGGAGACTATCAACTGGCTCGGCCCGACTACGCGCCCGGGCTGACCCCATCGCAGCTTCTCTGCGGCACAGCCCACAGGAAAAAGGCGCCTTCGTAAGCCGCGCCTTCGTCGCGATCGCGACGATGGCACGGAAACATGCGCTGTGGCCAGATGACCAAAAAACCTACGGAGCGGCCTTCGCTGACCCGACACTTGCTCGCGTCGTAAAACCTGGGGCGCGGCTTGCACGCCAACAACGATGCAAATCCGAGTGAGGTGGCACGCCCAATAAATCCCTGTCTCTGCATGCAAAGTCCAGGGTTGCCAAACGTTACGAGAAACCGACATAAGCAGTAACAGGTTGAACACACTGCTCGACTGTATCCAGCATGGCATGTCATCCGCCACGAGGTGGGCGTCTACGAATGTGTGAATGCGACATCGCCCTTAAGTTCTAAACATCTCATCTTCGTCCTCCTCACGCTCTTCCAGCTAGACCTCGTCCTTCTTCTCCTTGTCGTTGCCCTCCTCCTCGTCATCCTCTTCCTTGCCCACAGTATCCGCTGTTCGCTGTTGGGAGCACTACAGCCTACTGTATATTGCCCGCCAGGTGTATCCTCCTCCTCTGGCTCCTGCTCCTCCTCCTCCTCCTCCTCTTCTTCCTCCTACTCCTCCTCCTCTTCCTCCTCCTCCTCCTCTTCCACCCCTTCCTCTCTTCATCGTCATCAAGATCCTAGTACGTGTCATGAAAAACCTGGCTTAGCGCGAGGTTCGCGTCGCGGCAGGTGTGTCCCTTCCTTGGCCCTTGGCAGTAGCGAGGTTCTCGCCCTCGGATACCTGTGCATTGGGGCACCCCCGCCTGTTTTTGCCGGATCCCTGCTCGGAATTTGATTTGGGCACCAGTCGGACGATTTCGTTGTCGGCTCCGATGCGCCCCTGGGGATCACGAATCAGAGGCCTCCTAGATCAGGTCCGAGTAGAGGGGGCCGGAGGATCGCGCCGCAACGGCGATAAATTGGCGACGTCGGCGAGGTATCGGCGCCATCGGCGTGGAGAAAATCGGGCTCCACATCGAGCCGCATCGCAAATGCATCGGCGATGCGGCGCGATCCTTTGACCAACATCTACTCCGACCCCATGTAGTAGGCCTAGACTTCTCCTGCAGGCGGATTTTGGAAGACAAGTAGAGCATAGCCAAAGCATGCTCAAGCACCGTCACACATAATAGAACATATTGTCCCCAGACTATGCTTCGACTGTTCTTGACTCTATTCCTCCTGCAGAAAGATAGGCTCGACTTCAGCCTAGACGCGCGTGTGATCTTGTCCGGGGGGGTGCTGTCGGTCGGCGGCGCTGGCGGCCCCGGAAGGGCCCCTCCCCAGGGCCCTTGCGCTAGGTCGGGCATGTCCCCCTACAGGCGGATTTTGGAAGAAAAATCAAAAGAATCAAAGAACACCCCAGGATAGTCAAAAATATAAGCAGCGAATCGCCCCCAGACTATTAGTTGACCATTTTTGAGCATCCGTCCTGTAGAGGGACCTGCCCGACGTACCCCTTGCGCCCCCGTGCGGGACGGCTGCTGGGACGGCCGTGCGCCGTGCCGCAGCTGTGCGGGACGGGCTGGGCCGACGACGCCGTGCTCCCTGCCGCAGCTGTCGCGGCAGCGCGCGCCTGTGCCACGGCCTGCACGGACAACTCGCCATCGCTGATCCGGCCATTGCACCGCGTTCGTTTCCTCGACGTTCGGTGGTGCGTACTCGTCGGCGACGAGCGAGGGGGGGAAGTGAGAAGGGGCGTGCCTTCTCAGAAGGCCCGGTTGTCCCCTCGGCCCTCCTAGCCTTCCCCGAAAACTGACTCAGCCTTTGCGCCACGTTCGCTTTCTCGACGTTTGTTGGTGCGTACTCGTCGGCGGCGAGCGAGGGGGGGAAGTGAGAAGGGGCGGGCCTTCTCAGAAGGCTCGGAAGTCCCCTCAGCCTTCTGAAACGTTTTCGAAGCCTTCCACGAAGACGCAGACAACAACTTCTCAGAGGGCGCGAGGGCTTCTCGGAAGTCCCGCCGCCTTCTGAGACGGCCTTCTCCTTCTCCCTCGCCCCTCGCTCGCAGCCAACGCCTCGCCTGGGGGCCCATTTCCTGCGACGCGGACGGCTTCGGCGCCCCGCCTTTGCTGGAGATGGGCCCTCAAGTTGAGGGGCTCGTGAGCTTAAGTCGGGCCTGTCCCCCTACAAGGGGATTTTCGACGAAAAATAAAACAAAAATATCCCACAAATAATCAATAAATAATTCAAAAAATAGTCAGGGGACGATTTTTTGAATTTTTTTTTGACCTTTTTTGGGCATTCTGGGGAAATTTGTATTTTTCGTCGAAAATCCCCCTGTAGGGGGACAGGCCCGACTTAACCCAACTGCCTCTCGGATGTCCGCTCGCTCGCTCTTCGTCGCCGCCGCCATCGACGCCATCGCGGCCCCCCGTTCACCCGACGGCCCGTCGCGCGGTGCCTGGCACCGGGCCTGCGGCGGCCAGGCAGGACCCGCGCCGGGCCCTCCTCCCTCGCCAAGGGCGGCGCTGGAGGCCCCGCCGGGGGCCCAGGCGCCGATTCGGGAAATCCGCGCGGAGCGCCGACAGTTTGTGTCTATGCCGTTTTTACTTTGAAGGGGCCCCGGGACACGCGAATAAATGCACACAAATGGCAAGGTCCCCATCGATTTTTCCATTTTTTTCTGGGTTTTTGTCTCCCCCCCCACTTCCCATATCTTCCCGTATTCTCCCGGGAATCGACGATCGATTCAGTTTGTTGTTGTTGTTGTTGTTGTTGTTGTTGAACATTATTCCTTCTAAAGAATTATTATTGTTGGGACCCCTGGTGCGCGACCTCTGCGCCGCGCCTAGGCCGCAGCTACTTTTTCATCATTTTTTCGCGAAAGCTTCAGAAAAGTGGATGAGCTCCGGATCCGGTTTTTTGTTGACGCTCGTTTTCCCTTGCAAAAAACAATAGAACATGAAAATTCTTGTTTTTACTTGATCAAATTGCAAGAATCCCTTGCAAAAAATAAGGTAAAGTGGACATTCGTGCGCGCAAGACGAAATCCTTCCAAAACCTTAGGTTTCGTAACGATTTTAACATAAAAACATCAAACACCCAATGGTTTTCTCAGAAAAAATTGTCAAAATGTCCTTCCGCGCGCTCTTGCGGATTCCTAGGAAACCCACCAAATTTTAAACATTTCTGTTAAAAGGGCCTTTGCGAGGAACCTTTTCAGGTGCTTCGACCTTCTGCAACAACGGTTGCGAGCCTACGAGGGCCACCATCCCTTGCAAAAAATGACACGAAGTGCACAAGCGCGCGGCCGCCGCGCGCGCGTGCCGAAATCCTGCCAAACATAATGTGATTTCAATAATTTCAAGATGCGATGTTCCGAAAACATATGCAAACGCAAGATCTCTCCACTGGCTCTCTGTCTTGCTCTCTCTCTCTCTCTCTCTCTCTCTGTCTCTCTGTACTATGTATGTCATACGCAACAAATGCACCATGCGGGGCACATGCGGGGCCCAAACAAGTGATCAACCTCTGCGGGTGTGTACTCCACGCCAGTGTAGTATCCACGATCGTCCTCGCGCCACGAAGTGAAGTGTCCTGACGTCATAGGGCGGGAAGCTGGGTGTGGGTGGTTCCCGAGAGTCGTGTGGATGTTTGGTAGAGCTTGCATTGCCCCCCCACGAAGTGGGGGTATTGGCTGGCGTCGCATGAAAACCCTGGCAATGGGGAGAACACTGAGCGTTCGGGTAAAATGATTGTTGTTGTTGTTGTTGTTGTTGTTGTGGTTGTGGTTGTTGTTGAACATTATTTATTCTAAAGAATAATTATTGTTGGGCCCCCTGGTGCGCGCCCCCCCTGCGCCGCCTAGGCCGCAGCTACATTTTCATCATTTTCGTGAGGAAGCCTCAGAAAAGAGGGTGTGTACAGGATCCGGTTGTTTTGTTGTAATCCGCTTTCCCTTGCAAGAAAACAATAGAAAATGACATTTCTTGTTCTAATATAATCAAATTTCAAGAATCCCTTGCAAAAAATAAGGTAAAGTGGACATTCGCGCGCGCAAGACGAAATCCTTCCAAAACCTTAGTGTTCGCAGCGATTTTAACATAAAAACATCAAAAAACCAATGGATTTTCAACAAAAAATTGTCAAAATCTCATCCCGCGCGCTCCTGCGGATTCGTAGGAAACCCAACACTTTTTAAACATTTCTGTCAAACGGGCTTTTGCGAGCAACTTTTTCGAACTTCTGCAACAACGGTTGCGCACCTGCCAGGGCCATCATCCCTGTCAAATAATACCATGCGGGACACATTCGTTTTCTTCGCGCGCGCACGCCGTCGTCGTCGGCCGCGGGGCCCTGAATAGTAGCCACGGTCGTCCGCATGCCACGAAGTGAAGTGTCCGAACGTCATAGGGCGGAAAGCTGGGTGTGGGTGGTGGCGAAGAGTCGTTTGGAAATTTGGTAGAGCTTGAAACGGCCCCCCCACAAAGTGGGGGCATTGCCCGCCTCCTATGAAAACCCTGGCACTGGTGAGAACGGAGTGTCCCCACGTGCTAGTAATTGTTTTTGTTGTTGTTGTTGCTGTTGCTGTTGTTGTTGTTGTTGTTGTTGTTGTTGTTGTTGTTGTTGTTGTTGTTGGTTCTCTCTCTTTCCTCCTGATGCTCCGTCGAGACAACCAGCCCATCCTGGCAAGGCAGCAGCGCGACGTGCTGGAACTCCAGGGGGGGGAGGCCGCCGCGGCCCGAGCGGCCGTCACGGCCGAGCCCGCGGGCGGCGCGGGCAGACGGAGAGCGACGGCTGCAGCGGTCGAGCTCGGCCAGCTCGCGCCTGTGGCCCTGGCGCGGTGTAGAGCGTGCTCACGCAGGCGCGCCCGGCAGTCTTTCGTGAGCAGATCGTGCAACCTCTCGAGCCCGTACGCTCGCGCGCGCACGAGCTCGCCAGGGCCCCCCCCCCCCCGCCGAAGCGGAGCGGATGGGGCCAACGCGGCTGCGCTAGCCGCGGTGCAACCGGCGGCCCTTCTCTTTTGCATTCTTTCTCTCGACGTGGGCTCGACGCGGACTCGACGTGAATTCAACGTGCATTTCGCGCAGATTCGACGCGATCCAGGGGGATCTCGACGCGAATTCGTCACGGATGGTGGGCGCGATGGGGCAGGCGAGGGGCTCCACGAAGATGCGGGGTGGTGCTGGCCTTGTT